CCTCCAGAGGGAAAACTCCATGGTGTACCCCATGTTTCTTCTCATCCACCACAACAACAAAGAACATAGAGCATCTGATATCTCAGAGATGGGCACTGTCTTGTCCAAACTGGGCCTAGGCTTGAATGCTCAACCCAGCACCTGACAGAAACGGCTGCTCCGTTATGGAACACTGCAACAATCAATCATCCCATTTATTCCTGCTAACAGTAGAGCTATGGATGCAGCAGCTACCTGAACATGCTTTTACCTTTTTTTTTTTTTTTTGCAGGGACTTTTTCTGTTCCTTAGATTTCCTTTTTTTTTTTTATATGTAAATTAGTATCTAACACTAACACCATGATTCCCTGGCCTCTCTAGCCCAACGTCCTATATTCCCTAACAAAGCTAGCTCCTCATTCCATTATCTAAAAATACTAAATTGATGCCCAAGAGCCTTCACCACCTCAGACCTTCTTGCTACACTCCATTTTGTGGTTAAAGAAACAGTGCCTAGATAAAATGTTTCTATGTACTGCTAAATTCAGCCACACAATTGCCAAAACAGTGCATACTATTGGAGCCTGGGCAAACCAAATCGTAAAACTCTCCAACCTTTCAAACAGCTGCCAGTATAGTAGAGACATTGCAAGCCCTACTTAGAAGGGATAGTCCCTATTTTAGCACCAAATGCATTGTTTTTGTCCTAATGTCCCTCTATGCTATCTGCTCCATACTTTTGGTGTGTCTGAGTGTATAACACAACAATTATACTCACAGTAATGTTTCTTTAAACTACAATAAATGTGTTTAGAACTCCATCTGTGGAAATAAAATACATTATTCTTGTTCTAAATTACATTTTAGTTTTATAAACTGTTATGTGTAGGTCACATACATTTTCCCAGAACAGCCCACACCTTGGCCACACCCCCACTCACACACCTAAAGTGTCCCTTTTTGTCCATATGAAATGTTAGAAGATGTGCCATAGATTCTCTATATTTTCTGAAATTTAGGGCAGCTGAGCTGTTGGTTTGTAAGTAAGCAGCTAATTTTTTTGGTTTCCCTCTTCCTCCTTTTTACTCGGTGCCCCTATTTAATTATCTTCCAAACAGACAAAGTGTCATTATCACTGTATCACAGTATAATTTTTTTTTTTTGCATTAATTTCAATATCGATTTCTATTTTTTTCATTATCAACGAGGGACATTTTTGTTCAAAGATAGAGAAGAAATGAACTGGTGGATTAGAAATCCAACATATTTAAAACAAAAATGTAACAGACTGCGAAAGCATAAACCATTTCAATATGTCCAACAAAGAAAATAAAAGCTCATTTATACTCTAGCGTTGACAGATTGCCCTCTTGCTATGCACTATAAATATTTCCAATGAAGAGTTTGAAACTGATGTTTAGTCATGTTAAACCTAAATATATCATAATAAAAAGTAATAATAAGATAACTTAAAAGTGATAAAATACTTCAAAGACCAGAAAACTATTTCAAATGCCGATAAGAATGCACATTTGTGACAGTTTCTCTTACAAAAGTAATTATATGGGGGGCAAGCATACCTGATTAGATATTGCATTTCTTCTCATAATTACTAATTTACTGCCTATTGCATTATCTCAAAGCCCATTCACAGAGTGGAACTGCAAATCACGCCATGCCAAAAAAAAAACACAGATCACTTGGCATAACCTTTGCAAACATTAAAATAATTCATTAAAAAGGTTTATTCCACTAGCAAGGATAGGAAACTAAGCTTGTAAGTGGAGCGGTGACATAAATTAGAACACATAATAATTTATGAGCTTATTTTATTATACTCATGATTAGATAATCGTTATACTGTACTTCACTCACTGATATACTGGGTTTTAAAACGTGCAGCATTGACTCTAGGTTAGATATGCATTTAAATTGACTATATGTAGCACTAATTAAAATATTTCATTACATAGTAGGTGGCTGAACATGATCTCATGTTGGAAATATAGTGACTTGACCAATGTCACATATATACAGTGTTGGATCTGAAGTTTAGAATGTTGCCCTTAATTATAAGACACATCAAAGGTTCTTTCCAATTCTGCAGTTAGCTGCTAAAAATATTATCTATTCAACTCACTAGAGTTTGGCAGACAGATATGGTCAGTATTAAATAGGAAGTGTCATATCTATGATGAAAGTCTTTTTTTGTTATTCCAAAAAAATAGAATTCAGTAAAGTGTGAGATTTAGTTTTTTGTTTTTTTTAAAAAACATTTTTATTTTAGTAAAATGGTATAGTTATGTGACTTATACCCTCTGAAAAGGTATTTAATATAAATCATACTATGTTTTGTACAATACCCAGTTCACATCTATCGAATTCTCTGAACAAACCTATGAAGTCTATGGTTTACCCTGGGCAAACTCCCCGGGCAAACTCTCAAAGCAAATCAAACATACTCTTTGTGAAGTCCTTGAATCAACTCCCTTACCCAACAGCCATGAGTCCCCTGTTGAAATCGATGAGACATACTCTTAGTTGACATCAAGCATAGAGTGGCTAATTAGGTTAAGCTGGAATTCTGTATTTACCATTTACCATTGTAGATGTACAGGAACCAAAAAGTAAACTAGATTTTAAAATGTGCACACTCCTAGAGTTCCAAACCTGAGCAAAGATCTACCTTCAAACATAAATGTTGCCCACTATGTAGTAAAACGGTGCTTCATCTCTGTAACATTGATGTCAGCCCTCTACGACTTGATACTTTATTCTTAAAATACTAACGAAAACCAGTTGGTTGTATGTTTGGACCAAATACACCAATTATCATTTGAGTGTCAACGTATGAGCTTCACTTATGATATGAACAAATTGTGATGTCCATGTAAAGTAGGATATACGATACTGTGATAAATAGCAGTCCAGGAGTTTGTCCTTGTTACCTGTGAAGTATAGAGTGTGCTCACTCGATTTGGCATATGCAGTGGGAGAGTTTGTGTTACCAGTCCTAGAGCAAAATAAGGTATGTAAGGTTGATTTGCATGACAACGTCTCTAGTCGTCTGTAGTTTACATTTTGCCAGCAGAAAAACATGATGCTTATGTCAAGTATATAACACGCTTCTGATCTGTTGTAATCCTTTTGTTTAAAACATCATGCACCATAGCTCTAAATAAATACAGCATGCTCATGTACATCACAATAAATACTTTGTTTAGAATATTTTTTTCTAGAAGGAATACACAGAATTCTCTCTTATTTTCAAGTACTCCCTGAAATGTTTAAAGCACATGATATTACTAGATATTTTCTAGTACACTGAAAAGTGCATTTTCAAGCAATTTGGTTCACAGATCAAGTGAGAAGAACTAACCAATGGAAAGAAAAAGAGGAAGAGCAGTAAATATATACAGGGTCGTTATTCTGAATTCTGCTCGCGGCACCAAAAAAAGAGATGATTGATGGGAAAACAAGATGATTGATGGCCAGTGAGAAGTGAGCAATATATATATAGATCTTAAAAATATATAGATATACAGATAGATTTTTTTTTTTACTGCTTCTCCTTTCCCCACCACTATTGCTCACTTCTCACTTGATCGTGAATAAATTCAACATTTATTAAAGGGACATTATAGGCACCCAGACTAATTCAGGTCATTGAAGTGGTCTGGGTACAGTGTTCCTATTGCACTTAGTGCTGCAATGAACTGCAATGATTACATTGCAGCACCAGGTCTGCCTCCAGTGACTGTCTTGAGGTGGATTTTTTTTAAAATAATTCTTTATTTTTGTAGTGCATAGTTTGACATTCTGGCATGCAGAAACATTCCACAAGATGCATAACGACAAGACATGGGTGCATGAAATGTCAAGAGAGAAATGCACTTTTTTGTATAATTAGAGAAATCATAAATGTTAAATCTTAGACTAAACGTACATATCTGGGTCTAATTGGTGTTGCAGGCTTTAGAAGTAACAGAATAACAAGGCGATGACACATTAATGCAAATTAAACCTCTGGTATCAATTGTGCTTTCCTAGGACCATTACATTCAGAGGAAGATGGAGAGTAAAGACAAAATGGTGGTTACTGAAATTGCTAGGCCCTAATGTTTAGCTGATAGTTTACCATATGCTGGTGTACAGGCATTCAGCCACCCCCACACTCGGTAGGCTCAGAGTGGAATGAAAAAGTCCACTGGGACAAATAGTCAGGGAAAACCAAAGGGCGATTTCCCTCCAGCCCTAGGCAGGTCACAAGGCCCACACCCCAATGCCGCGAACCCAGGATCATGTTGAGTGTAAGTTCATCCCTTGAGAATATGGTAAGTCCATGTCACGGTTCTCACCGTGGCATCCAGACTGCCAGACGAGGTCGCCCCAGAAGAGCCCAAAGGGGATTTGAACCTGGGTGCTTTATGGTTCTGTGTTCCTGCCTCTGAGCCACTTCGGTTCTTGGTTTGGCCTGAAACTTATCCTTGCCAAGTGTCCAGTACTTGGGGCTGGACTTAACCTGTGACTGCTCCTGTCAATCGTGGTCCAGCTGTAAAGCATCACTGATTAGCCAGGTATAAGCCCCTTTCTCTCCCTGAGGGCAGTGTCAGTTCATTGACTCTGGTTCCTGTGTTGGTGTTTTTGTTCCTGTGTTCTCCAGTTGGCTCCTGACCTTGGCTTTCTATTCGTGTATGCTGACTTCTGGCATCCTCTGAATTTGGCTTACCCTTGTTTATTCTGACTTCTGGCACCCTCTTACCTTTGGCTTACCCTCAACGATTCTCCAGCTTGTGTCCTTACCTGTACTGCGACTTGGAGCTATATTCTGCACAGACTCACAGGCCAGGTGAATTCTTACCTGACCACCTTGACCTGTGTTTAATTGCAAGGATGAGCAGATATCTCTGGATACCGGACTCCCACCTCAGGTAAGCCCTGACAGTCCGGATGTTTGGGCACCAATACTGGCAAGTGGTTCTCCACTTGGGTGGACGATGTGGTGGGTGTAAGCCCCATACAGCCGTGGAGAGTGGGTGAGCAGTGAGACTCGAGCTTGTGAGGTTGATTTTCCACAAGGGGTCTCCCCCGGCTCTTGTCTCCAGAATCTCTGATCGCTCTCAGCCTGTAGGAAGTGCGATGCTGCCAACCGCTCTGCTAATTGTGCCCAGAAGTGCTCAAATGCTGCATCCAGCCTTGACAGTATGTTAATGGCATAGTCCTGTTGGTCTGAGCAGTGTAGTGGCAGGCTGTGCAGCTCAGGAGTATTTGTCTCTGCCATGTTGAGTATTTATGGCACCATAAGCTTTTGGGACTGATCCTGCGTGTGCAGCAGAGTTGTGCTTGATGTTCCAGAGGGGACCTGGATTACCTCCACCGGTCCCGTGGAGGAGCTAGGTAAGTCCATGTGGATGTCTGTAGAGCGAGGAGAAGGGCCATCTCTCCCCAGATCAGTCGCTGCTAGGCCGCAGATTGACTCCGTGGGCCCCCTGACTACCAAGCTGCACGCCGATAGGACCTCTGGGTTCGTTGAAGCTTCCCCTACACAAGTAGCACACTGTGGGGGTGATTGTGGCTCGGAAACCATGGTTATGCCCGAGAGATCCTGTGAGGTGACGGGAGCTCGGTCTCCATATGTCCTATCAGCTCCTGGATGTTAATGGATGCTTGATATCCTCACGCTCTGAATCTAGTGTCAGTTATTCCCCCATAGGAAAGCATTAATTCAATGTTTTCCTATGGTGAGGTCTAATACACGCGTAGCACTTGCCGCGTATGCGCATTAGTGCCCGCTCGCTGAGGGACATCGGAGGTGGAGTCACAACCCAGCGACGAGGGACATTGGTGCTGGGATCAAGTGAGTAAATAAATGGTTTTTAACCCTTTATTAACCTTGTGGGGAGGGAGGGATGGGATAGAGGAAGCATAGTTAAAGTTCCAGGAATATAGCTTTGTATTGTATCCTTTTAGCTGACCCCTATCCATCAATCCATCAATTCTCTTTTTTTACCATCTGTCCTTAGCACCACAGGCAAAACTCTAAATCAAGAAATAAAAGGAAATGGCCCATCCATTGTCCTTTTTGTATGCATTGTAATTTATTCATTGTAAGCACCATAACTACTACAACCCACGGTAGAGTTTATAGTGTAAGCATTCACCTGGCACCATCCCTCATATGTGTGTCAAACATTTTTCAAACAGTTTGACACAAGTCGAGGTTCACCAGGTGCCTGTGACCTCCCCTCTTGATGAAGTTTCACTTCCACATTAGGCATATCATTTCGACTTGGAGTTTCGTCTAACCCAAACTGCAATTTGGTCAAACTTGTGCTAAATTCCCAATCGCTAAACTAAAATGCACCCCAATCAGAGACCAACCTAAGTGCACAATGCCGAGCATGTTTGGTTCAAGGTCGTTATTCTGAATTCTGCTCGCGGCACCAAAAAAAGAGATGATTGATGGGAAAATAAGATGATTGATGGCCAGTGAGAAGTGAGCAATAGGGTGAAAAAGGAGGAGACATAAGAAAAATCTATATTTTTACATTATATAAATATACACACAAAGTATATAATATATATATAGGATTTTCTTACTGCTTCTCCATATCCCTCTATTGCTCACTTCTCACTTAATTTGTTAATAAAGATATTTAGTGGCTGTCCCCTGGCCATCAATCATCTTTTATAAAAAAAAAAAACAGCGTGCATATGGCCAGGTGACAGGAGGGCAGGGGAGCTGAAACAGGTACTCCACCCTGTCTATTAAAAATAATAAAAAAATTGCGGCAGCGGGGGCGGGGCTTAACGAGTGGTGGGGTGGGGCTTATCACAAGGCGGCGGCAGAGCCAATACCTACCCAAAGCCCCTGATAACTGCTACACAGGAAGAGGGAAGAAGGAAGGAGTCCCTGCTTCCCCAACAACCAACTGCATCCACTCCCCCTTCCAGCCATAATGGAAAGAGGTAAGTCTGTGTGTGTGTGTGTGTGTGTGTGTGTGACTGTCTGTGTGACTGCCTGCCTGTGTGTATGATTGCCTGCCTGTGTGTGTGTGTGTGTGTGACTGTCTGTCTGTGTGACTGCCTGCCTGTGTGTGTGTGTGTGTGACTGTCTGTCTGTGTGTCTGCCTGCCTATGTGTGTGTGACTGTCTATCTGTGTGATTGTCTGCCTGCCTGCGTGTGTGACTGTCTGTTTGTGTGACTGCCTGTGTGTGTGTGTGTGTGTGACTGCCTGTGTGTGTGACTGCCTGCCTGTGTGTGACTGTCTGTCTGTGTGACTGCCTCTGTGTGTGTGTGTGTGTGTGTGTGTGTGTGTGACTGTCTGTGTGTGTGACTGCCTGCCTGTGTGTGACTGTCTGCCTGTGTGTGTGACTTAACTGTGTGTGACTCCAATTGCATGTGTTGCTGTAGCTGTGCCGTTGTGTGTGCCTGTGCCTGTGTGTGTGACTATCTGCCTTTAACTGAGTGTGTGTGTGCCTATCAGCATGTGTGAGAGTCTGCATGCCTGTAACCGAGTGTGTATGACTGTCTGCTCGTAATGGAGTATGTGTGACTGTCTGCTTGTGACTGTGTGTGTGACTGTATGCCTGTACCTGTGTGTGTGACTGTGTGCCTGTAACTGTTCATGATTGTATGCCTGTAACTGTGTGTGTGACTGTCTGCCTGTAACTGAGCGTGCCTGACTGTCTGCCTGTAACTGAGCGTGCTTGACTGTCTGCTTGTAACTGTTTGTGTGAGTGCTTGTGTGTGTGACTGTATACAGGTAACTTTGTGGGGGGGGGAGGGGCGCCGTGAAGATTTTTCGCACACTCCATATATTATTGTCACCATTATTTGTATTGTTGCAATATATGGCAACTAGTACTGAAAAGAAGTGCGATTATGATTTAAAACATCCATGTATCTATTTACTGAACCAGGAATTGTGCAGAAATGACAAGGGAATTGCAAATTTCAGGCAAAAGTAAGCTAAAATGGACATAGCTTCCAGTGAGGCTGTTCTGTAAACAAAAAAATATAAAAGTTATAGAATTTTCCATAATTTGAAATTTAGTGAATAAACTGCAACTAGAAGTTTAGTGAATAAACTGCAAAGACTTCAAATAAGTTTAAAACTGATTTTAGGCAAAAATTGCCAAGGTTGAAATACTTGTAAACCACATGAGTTACAGATTTCTTTTTAGCCCAGCAATTTTGGCTAAAAAATTACCTAAATCTGGCCTTTCATTTCTTGGGTTCTGCTGTTTATTTCATATCATTATTTGATATTGTGTGTTTATATATATATATATATATTGTATAAAGTTGCCCTTTTAACTGCACCAATTACAATTATAATGTTCCGTGCCACGATAATTTATTGCTAGGCTCCATAACTCAGACACCACTTTCCCTGAGCCAAAGGGAGTACAATACATTTACAAATGTGCAAATTGTTGCAAATGACTCCGAAGAGTTTTAAAACCAATATTAGCTCAATTTGTGAGTATGAAAAGAGAGGGGAAAGGTCTTTGCAGAAAAGAGACTCAATTTCAAAGAGATGGAAGTGAAGGTCTCTGCTTAAGCAACTAAAACTAACTGAAAGTCCATTTCGGAATCCCATGGGTTGCCATTAATAATTGAGAGTCTGTGCATTTGCTAAAGGGAATAAAAAGCTCTTCAGATAGCAGGCAGGTGGTAGTTAGATGTCGTTTATCAAAATGGGATAACTGTGGGCGAAGGGGATGAATGCCAAAATGGTGCAGTAATATTTTAAGAATGTATAAGCAGCTGTAAGTAAGCTAAAGGAGGGGGCACACTAGCTCCTAATCTTAATGGCTCTCACCACAATAATATCATTTTTTTAATTATTGAAAGTAATTAAAGAAGAATAGTAACATTTCTCACAGAGACAGTTTCCTTCTCCCTCACTTCAAATAAAAGCTATTGAACTGTTTACTTGGTTGCAATAAGACAGTATATAAGACACTTACATCCCCTGCACTTCCAGATGCCACTATCTTACCATGATGCTTTGAAAGTGTAAATCAAGGACAGGGCTGTCACCAGGGGTCCAGCTCAGGGGCCATGTCGTACCTAGCAGTCCAGTTGGGGACATAGATATATCTTCCATAACTGGATCCACATTGACCAGCAGTATTAGGGTCCTTTAGGTCATGTTTGACCCTGCACATCTCCCTCAGTGGTAGCAACACTAGAAGATGTAAAATCATAGATACAATTCCTCCCAGTGTTACTATGGAGCTGCAGAGGGCTCTGAAATGGAGTGTATGTGTGTGGGGGGGGAGGGGGGGAGGTTATGGCACATTATTATGTTGCTGCCCTCTGACTACCACACAGCACACCCAAGCTTGGAATTACAAACTCTGGCATGGTATGGAGGTACGACTGCCTAAGATAGGGCATGGTTTATATTTTGGCTGCTTACTGTGGATGGAAGAAGTTGGGGAGCTGTGTATGTGTGTCTGACTATGGGTATGTTTTTATTTTTTATTTTTTATAATTCTTTATTTTGTCAATGACAGATATAATTAGGTAGTGCAATTTAGTGGCTTGCGCAGAAGCCGCGATATCGTTCAGGCAGTGTATAGGTTATTACACGTACATCTTTTGAGATTTACACCTGTCTGTCATCGTTTTTCAACAAATACGGTAAGAACAACATTTAGATAACTTGCAACTTATAACATAAGAGGTTATTCTTAACAGGGCCTTTGGGTTGCCGTCGCGGTGCAGCGGCTTTGGCGTGTTGAGCATCTAGGTCGGGTTACCGGAAAGTCCGACCTTGTATTGGGGATGGGGTGAATTAACCTAAAAAGAGGGGGGGGGGATGGAGAGGGAGGGGGGGGAAGTGGTCTTGGACGTTTCTAGTGGTTTGCTAGTCATCTGTGTGGTTATCCCATGGTTCCCATACCTTTGTGAAAGCTTTCATAGTGCCTCGTATTTGAGCCGTCAGTTTGTCCATGAGGTGACACTCTTTGATCTTGTTGAGTACTGCGGTCATTGAGGGAGGGTTTGGCTGCAACCATGTTTGGGCTAGGGCTTTTCTAGCTGCTAATGTTATCTTGTTAAGCAATTGTTGTTCATGTCTGGGTAGGTCGTCTAGGGGTCTAGCCAGCAGGAATGTCCATGGGTTTGCGTCTATCGGTCTATGTAAGATTTGCGCTATTAGCTTCTGGATGTTTTCCCAGAAAAGTTTAATTATGGGGCAGTACCACCACATATGTGCGTACGTCCCTTTTTCTCCGCAGTTACGCCAGCAGAGGTCCGTGGGTATT